CTGCCTTACTCTCTGGTCTCTTCGTGTCTCGACCTTGGCTCATCACCTGAATTTGAGTGATCCAACCTCAGTGCTGACCTTCGAAACACCGATCCTGTGAACTACTCTCACTCGGGCCGCGGACATCCGTTCATCCAAAATGGTATGATCTTGACAAATAAGGATGCGTAATTGAAGACCGAAATACGGAGTTAGAACATCTAAACATTTCCCGACTTGATACGCTGTAAACAAAGGATTTTGAGACCACTGGGCATCACCAACAAAAATTTACTTCTACTGACTGTGAGGTAGTAGAGGTGGCAGGTTTGTCAGGCAGCGACATGTATGCGCCGAATTCGGTGCAGTTTCCAGGAGCAAAGTGTGCAACCTAAGCAGTTCTTAATTGGGCTCTGTACTACTCTCTCCGCATTTTGTACCATCTGGAGATGAATCGGATTGTCAGGCTGACGAACTTGACCTCAGTTCTGTAAATCTTTGCGTAGAGCACTTGCCAGAAAAAGGTTTAATTAAGCCAAGTCAATTTGGTGGGGATGCTTTACGTTCGCGCTCTCCTATTCCTGGCAAAGACGAATCGTGCACTCCGCCATTGACCTGAGTGATAAAGCAACCTGTTCGAAGGTCTAACATCGACTGGGAAGGAAAAGTCGCAAAAGCGGCTTGTGGACATTAGTCACGGACATTAACACGATATGATAGACAACAAACCTCCAAGGATGCCTACTTCGAGCGACAAAATCATGTTATGCATTTTGAGTAGCCTGCTGCCCAACCAACGAGCACATAAGGTTCAAGAGGATGAATCTCCGTCTTGACTTCTTCATCAACTCCTCCACACGTGTGTACCAATGAACGAAATTAGATTTCTCGTTGTTAAAATACTGCTTTCAGTCCTTGCAGGTGTCTAAATGTAAACATTTTGCAACATGAAATGTGCACGCAGAAGAAAGTCACACTTCCTACTTCTCAAAACGTGTGATTGTCATATTTGTGTTCTGCGAATTCTGCTTAAAAAGTGATGGAGATGCGACTGTTTTGGCAACACCTAAAGAAAGAAACGTGAACATTTTTGGAGGCTACATGACTGAGTAAGCTAAAGGAATTGATACCTTCTTCTTTTATACAGGATGCTGACATTTTACCAATCGTCAAATAGGCCTGCAGTGATGCAGCCAAACTACCTTTGATTAGCACATCATTTTTGGACAATGTTTTGTTCGAAGTAATTAATCTCAAGGACACTTCCCCTCGTCAGCTAATCAAATTGGACATCTCACCAGATAGAGACGGAGCAAACAGCGCCGCCCTCTCTAATGCTATTTCAGACATGTTGACTTCAACGTTCTGCCTAGTCATCTTGCTGGTCAATTTTGCATTGGGTAAACAAAGAACAGCGTCCATATTATACATTTCCTTTTTATATCCAACGTTTATCCCATTTATTTAAATGCGTTCTATGCTGTATTTTGGTTCTTTGTTTCCACCAAAAGGCGACCCTGAACTGTTGGGTTCTCGTGTGATTACTCAACCGATTGGAAAATCTAGCCCTCCCATGTATTTCCTGTACAATGTTGGGGTAGGAAAATGACCTTCTGTTGTACTTGACATTTAAATTTGCCTGTTTTATACTTTGTAACAACTTCTTGAAACCTTCAAAACAATCGCACTTGCCACAATAATATTCTGATTTTCTGAGGCACCTCCTATGAGGTACACCGCTTTTAGTTAAGAATTTCAAATTTTATTCATTAAACACCGATTTTTAATGGTGCTTTACTTTCTCACGTCATGTTGGTACAGGGTACTATGTGGTGATGGATTTTTTCCTTATTTTTTGCACGATTGAATTTTTTCAAAATCCAGCAAATGTGAAATTGGTCAAACTACGAAATTCAAACGGATTAATAGGTTAAAATATGAGTGTGTGTTGCTGAACGTGTCCACAGCCACAGAGGACGTTCCTGTCTCGATGCTCTAGCAGTTTTACTTTCTGTGACTTATTCTCAAATGTTCTAGAAAGTCACACCATCGACCAGTCCCTACTGCCTGGTCGACAGCACTTGCAGACAGATCTGGAGTGTGAAAGTGATCACTGTAAGGTCAAGGCCAAATAAATGCCATAATTACGGGAGACTGTGTGTAGCCTTATTTCCGGCACTCTCCATTAATCTGTCTTCCATCCTGTACGCACACACCCAATCCTCGGCTCACTCCTGTCTATCAATGAATAAGGGCTTTGGTAATGAAGCCATCGTCCCTGATTACTCGAACTGGGGACTCGGCAGAGTCGGACCACATGTGGGCACCCAAACACCAGGTCCTAGCAGAGGCGGTATTCTTCCAAACAGAAAAGGC